GCCTGCCGCCGCGGCCCCGCCGCCGCCCGCCGCGGCCCCGGCCCCGCCGCTGCCGGCGGCCGGCGAGATCGGCGCGGCCGCCTCGTTCAGCGCAGCGGCCGCGGCCGCCATCTGCGCGGCGGCGGCGGTCGCGGGCATGGGCTCGCGGAAGTGGCCGTGGATTTCGGTATCCTGCGGCCGCGCGTCTGGCGCCGGCCGCGGCGGCAGGTGCTCGAGCGACCCGCTGCGGCCGCAGCCGTGGGACGCCGTCGTGAGCGTCGACGCGTGCGGCGGGTTGCTGTGGCGGCCACCAGGAGCCGGCGCGGGCCGATGGGCCGGGTGGTGGTGATGGTGCGCCGCTGCACGCAGGCTCGGCACTGGCTGCTGCTGGGGCGGCTGCGCCTGGTCACGCTGCTCCTGCTGCTGCTCATCCTCCTGGGGTTGTTGTTGCCGCTCCAGCTGCTGTTCGGGCGGCGGCGGCGTCGTCTGCGGAAGCTGCTGGAGCGGCTGCGGAGGGCCTGCAAAGCCGGCATGCTGCGATTCCGGCGCAGGGCCCGGCAGCGCGGTCACCTCGTTCGCATGCGTGTGCGCCTGCCCTGGGGGCTGCGCATCAGGCACCTCCCCAAGCTGCCCCGACGCGCCAACCGCAGCCTCTGCATCCGCCGCTCCCGCAGCGGCGCCACCGCCGGCGCCCGGCGTCACGCTGCCGCTGCCGCGCCGCCCGCCGAGCCCGCGCGCCGGCGGGCCCGGCTGCGCGGCGCTGCTGGCTGGCATGGCGGGGCCGCCGTCGGGCGGCGGGCTGCCTAGCCAGCCCGCGCCCTCCTGCGCCGCGCCCGCATGCTGCATCGCCTCCAGCGCCGGGTCGTGCGTCCCGCTCAGCGACGCCATCACCGCGGGCGCGCGCCGCCGCCGCGGGTCGCCTGGCTGCAAGCCCCTGCCGCCGCCGCCGCCGCCGCCGCCCATGCCGGCAGCCCCGCTCAAGCCGCCGCCGTCCTCCCCATCGCCGTTCGCGTCCGCATCCATGCCGTCCGCCGCGCCTTCGCCGCCGTCGCCGCCGCCGCCGCCGGACGCCTCCCCCATCAGCAGCTGGGAGCCAATAGGCTCGCCGCGCGCCTCGCCGTCACGAGAGGTCTGAGCGCCGCCCTCCTCGCCGTCCTCGTCGTCGCCACCACGAGGCGCGGCCCCGAGGTGGCGCCCCGCACGGCCGCCCGCGCGGCGCCCGCCGCCACCGCGGGCGGCCCCGCCGTGGCTGTCGTTGTGGATCGACATGTCCACGGTGCCGCTGTTGGTGCTGACGGTTGCGCTGTGCGTGGAGGGGCCAGCAGTCGCCATTGCCATGCTGCTGTCCCGCGGGCCCGCGCCTGCGCCTGCGCCAGCCGCGCCTGCGCCGGCGCCAGCGGCGCCAGCAGGCGCACGGCCGGCGCCTGACCCGCCTGCCTGAGCCACCGCGCCTGCTGCGCCACTGCCCGCATGGAAGCTGGGTGGCGGCACCACCGGCACAGGCGCCGCCGCGCTGGCAGTCGCGCCGACACCGCCGCCTCCGCCTGCGCGGCCCATAGCCGCCTGCTGCACGTCAGCCCCAGCAGGAGCGACGTCTGTGCCGACGCCGCCCCCTGTCCCGCCCTCCGCGCGCCTGCCCACGCCCCCAGCAGACCCGCCTGGGGCGCCCGGACTTGTGCCGGCCTGCATGGCAGCCTGCATGACACTCACATTAGTGGGGCCCGTGGCCGTCACGTTTGCACCTGGGGCCGACGCGGTGGGCATAGCTGACGCGGAATGCGACGCGCCGCAGAGCTGAGACACGATCTCCGCGTGGGTGGGTGGTGCGCCGCTGTTGGAGGGCTGCGACGCGCTCGAGCGGCTGGAAGACTGCTCGTCGCCATCGCCGTCGCCTCTGCCGTCGTCGTCACCCTCTGCGACCGCCGTTGCGTGCACGGAAGCCGCAGGGTGGGCGGCCGCGTCGCTTTGTGGCGCGTGGTGCGGCGCTGCGAAGGCGGGCGGGGACGCTTGCTGCTGTTCAAGGCTGGATGGCTGGGTTGAGGCAGGCCCAGCACCAGCTGCGGATGGCACTAGCTGCTGCTGTTGGTGCGGCCGCTCCTGCTGCTGCTGCGGCTGCTGCTGCTGCTGCTGCTGCTGCTGCTGCTGCTGCTCCTGCTGCTGCTCCTGGTGTTGCTCCTGATGCTGCTGCTGCTGCTGCTGTTGCTCCTGAAGCTGCTGCTGCTGAATGACGGGTGCAGAGGTAAGCGCGGCAGCCAATCCAGCTATCGCATGATGTGGCGGCTGGTGCTGATGCTGCTGTTGCTGCTGCTCGCGCTGCTGTTGCTGCCCTTGCAAGGCAAGATGAACTGCCACAGCTGGTGCCACATCCACTGCACCCGCAGCGGCCTGCATCAATGGAGCTCCAGCGCCGTGCGCACTGCGGCTGCGACTCGTGCTGGCAGGGACAAGTGGTGGCGCCGTGCCAATGCTGGGGGCGCCAGGTGTCGTGTCGTGCCGGCGCGCTTGCGCCGTCTCCTGCTGCTGCGACCCTGCCGCCTCCGCCTCGCCTTCACCCTCTCCATCACCGGTGGCGCGCCGAGACTGCATGCCTGTGTTGCCGGCCGCATCAGCCTGAGCTTCGGCCTCCCCCATCGCCGCGTCCTCGTTGCGCCCGGCCTGGCCAAACGCCCCGCAAGACGACGGCGCGACACTGCCGCGCAGCCAGTCCGACGCGGCCCCCGCGCCAGCCACGCTGTCGGCCTGTTCAGCGGCAGCGGGGCCGCGGCCGTCAGCTGTGGGCTCGCCACCCTTCTGCGGCTGCCCCTGCTGGTCTTGCGGGTCCTGCCCTGCCGGCTGTTGTCGCTGCTGCTGCTGCTGCTGCTGCTGCTGCAGTTGCTGCAGTTGCTGCTGCTGCTGCTGACGTCGTACATCCTGTGACTGCGCCACCTCCACGCGCGCCTCGCAACTCCGCCGCTGCTGCACCTGCCGCTGCCGCGATGGCTCCTCACACCACCGCTGCGACGGCGGCTCGAAGCCACCGCTGTGCGGCCTTTTGTGGCTTCGCGCCGCCTGCTGCTGCTGCCTCAGGATCGAGGCCAAAGCAGCCGCAAGCGCTGCCGCCTGGCGCTGGTGCGCGGGCGACCCTCCCGCGCCGGCCCCGCCGCCAGTAGAAGGCGCAGCCGCTGCGCCCGCCGCAAGGCTTGCCTGCAGCATCTCCAAATCAAAGTTGCGCTGTCCCGCCGCTGCCTGCTGCAGCGTAGCCAGAGGCACGCCCCCGTGCCCCTGCAGCAGCTGCTGCCACTGCTCGGGCGCAAGCTGTTGCGCCGGCGCAGGCTGCTCGAGGTTGCTGCCGCCATTGCTGCTGTTCCTGCGTGGCTCCCCGGCGCCACTACGACTCGCCTCCCCTGCAGCTCCACCGAGAGGTTGAGCGGGCGTGTCCTCGCCGTCGCCGCCGCCGCCACCGCCACCACTGTGCGGCCGAGCAACCCCTGTGCCATCGCCACAGCTGTGCGCGGCGTCGGCGTTGGGCGACGCACCCAGCAGCCCGCTCAGTCCCAGCCCAAACGCCTGCTGCTGCGGGAATAGCGGCGGTGCAGGCGACGCGGTTGACCCCTGCCCGCCTCCCTGCCAGGGCTGACGTTGGCGCCGCTGCTGCACGCTGCCCCCAAGCCCCTGCGATGACTGCTGCTGAGGGGGTGGCATGGCTGCAAGAGCCTGGGGCGGGGTGGTGGCTGGCAACGGGGCGGCGAAGCCCCCAGCCGAGCTGCGCCTGCCCGGCTGCTGCCCCGTCGCCTGGTGCTGCAGTGCAGCCGGCGGGGCGAGCGCTGGGCGGCTGCCCACTGCGATTGCCAGCCGGGCCTGCTGCAGTGCGGCAGCCGCCGCCACCCTGCCTGCATTACCACCGCCACCATTGTCTGAGCCGCGGTGCGCATGCACTCCTCCCAAGTGTGGCTGCAAAGGGGCCCCCAGGGGCGACGGGCCGTGGCCCACGGAGCTGGGGCCGCCCCCGCTTGCAGCTGCCGCCGCCGCAGCAGCAGCTGCGGCTGCAGCCGCAGCTGCTGCTACGGCAGCTGCAGCCGCGACGGGGTTCCCCGACAGGCCCGGCCCTGCGCCCGCCAGCAGCCCTTGCTGCGCCAGTCTCCAGACCTCAGCCGCTGCGTCGGCTTGCACGGGCCATGCCTGTTGGGCCGCAGAGGAAAGCCGTGCCAGGGCTCTGTCAGCACAGTGACGCTAAGCGCAACAAATCCACCTACCTCCAACTTCTGGGCCACGCTGCGCCAACAAATTAATCACTAAAGCAGTGACTATCAGCAGACGACAGGCCAGGCCAGGTGCGAAAGAGCTTGCAGGATGAATGCATGCTGAGCACTCGCCTCCCACCTGCTCCCCGCCTGGGTGGCTGCCATGCGCCGGGCTCTGCTGCCGCGCACGCGAGCGGGGGAGGCTGCCATAGCCCCCATACAGTGACGCAGGGGTCGCGGCACGGCCCTGCGGCCTTGGCGCCCCCGCATGGCCGCCGCCGCTGCCGCCGCCGCCGCCTGCCTGGCTGTTTGATACAACGCTGTTCGCGCGCCCAATCTTTGGTGACTGGTGATGGTGGTGCTGCTGCTGTGGCTGCGGCTGCTGCTGGTGCTGCTGCAACAGCTGTAGCACCTGATGCGGCAGCGGCTGGGCCGCCTGCTGCGGTTGCTGCGCGCGGGGCGACGCCGGCTGCACGGCTGTTGAGATAAGGCTGTTGCTGGGCCTGTGGATCTGGCCACCGCCACGGGGCAGCCCCGAGGGCCCGGCTGACGCGTTGGGCGCCGAGTGCGAGCACTCCACTGCAGGGGATGTATGCGTAAATCGTCCCTCAGGCGGATGTCGACGCTGTCGCTCGCGCGCACGCACCACATCTACGCAGCTCGCGTCCGTCCAAGAGCGGCGGGCACTTCAACCGTGGATACATTGCAGCAGCCAGTCGGTGCAATCGCACCCACCATCGGCTTCAGCAGCGGACAGTGCGCTCTCTTCGTCCACCGATCGCGACGGTAGCGCTGCCGACCCCGCCGGTCGCGCGCCCTCGAAAGACACGGCTGTGGACACCTGACTCCTCGCGCGCTACGCGAGCAAAAAACGGCAGCTTGTGAGCCCCGGCGGAGTTGTTGCCAGCAGCGGGTTGCAGATTGTGTGCTGCTGGCACAAAAGCGACATCCACGGGCTGGGGCTTTCACCACCCCCATCGGCCCCCAACATCACCTCGAGACCCAAACAAAATTGCTGAAAAGGCCCGCTCACCGGGCTGACTTGCCCACCAAAGCTATGGCTGTCGTGGCCGTCCTCGCCGTCGTCCTGGAGCCCCTGGGCGGATGGCTGGCTGGGTACAGCTCCCGAGTTCATAGAACCTACGGGGGCACCCGCGGGCGGTTCTTCGTCCATGATACCCACAGCGATCACTGGCCCATACAATGGCTGTGCTGGCCGTCCAGAAAGATGTCGTAACTCATTTTGATGATGGGTTATGGAGATGCTGACGCGTGCTTGCACTGGAGTCGACAGGGCTGGCGCCATGTGCAGCTGCTGCCCAGGTGGGCTGTCCTTGATTTTCAACAACTCATGCCCCCCGGCCCCCGCGTTGCCTATGATTCCGCAGTTGGTTGACACCAGCGTACCAAATTTCAGTAATGGCGCTCCATGTTGCGCGTACAACTTGGAGAACGGATGCGCTGATCCCTGATCGCCAGCAAAGCAAGGCGTCAGCATGACAGGGTTAGAGGCGTGTTGTCCAATGCAGACCACCACATCACAGCATGAGCATGCTCTCCTACGTAGCTTGTGTGACCCTGTGCAACATTACCTGATTGCTACCCACAAATCGATCGCCTGTAACCAAAAATTACGAAACGCACGTGTGACCGCCAAACGCGCTGCCGATGATGGCAACAAGAAGGATAGAGCCAGGAAAGACTCGGGCTGAGATGCCCCTCAATCCCTCAGCTTCATATACTTGCTATACCAAGGGGTAACCATGGCGCAAAAATGGGAAGAAGCGAGTTGGGCCAGAAGGATGTCATGTAGTTCGGTTGGCAAATTAGGGTACCAGCCTGGCCTCAGAGGCTGGTTGAGTCAACAAGCCCTCCCGTCAAACAATGGTAGTGCATTGTCTTTAACGAGCCCATCGACTTGATAACTGCTGCCAGGCACGTCCGCCCTGCCCCAGGACAGCCTACATGAGCAGGTCGGCGTTCGCCGCCTGACTTGCGGCACGCACGCACCACTGGATCGCAGCAGCGCGCGCGCGCGCGCGCCAGCTGTGCAGGACATGTGTCTGCCTGTATGGCAAAGGCCTCTCACAGCAATCAATGCAGCCGCGAGTGCGATCTGATACACTTGGAACCAGCCATCAGCTTCGCCTTGAAGTTGCCAAGGGATTCTGCCGCAACGGGAAAGGGCTCGTGATTGGCTGCAGGCATGGGCGCAGTGGCCTGGGTGCCAGTGTTGGGTACGGTGTCATGGAATGCCGTAGTACCATAAAGTTGGTGGTGGGTCCTGTGGTGCTGCGCATCAAATCAGTTGGAGCAGCGTGCCAGTCCTCCGGATATGAGGACAGCAGTCGATGTTCGTTGTCGCCAACAGCCGCCCGACTGTCGTCGGTTGTGCAGCTTGCACGTTGTGAGTACTGTACGGCAGATGCCAAGTGCGAGTGCGGTCACTGGTCTGATTGCTGTCTGAAGTCGCGCACGTCCCTGCTGTGCCCTTGCGCTGCTTTCATGCTTGCGGTTGCAGGTTTAAACGGCGGATGAGCGGAGGGCTCAAGTGGGGGCCACACTACCGTACGCATGTGTTCTCCGCGTTCCGCCGTTCCAGCCGAACAAATGCACTTGCTGCTGATTTTTTCCGGATTCGCACGAAAGCGGGCGAGCGGTGGGCAGTCCCGCCTTTCACGCCCGATTCGATCTCGCAACATCTAAAAAATGTGACTTTGCTACTGTACGCTACAGTTCCATTTATTGCGATCGACCTTGGAGCGTTGTGATCACGGCCAGGTCGCAGGGCTGGTTGTCGCCTAGAATCTGTCGTCAAGCCATGCACACGGGGTCGTTGAAAGCCCCTCGGCCCCCGCAAGGCAGAGCCGGCGCAGCGTTGCTGGGCGCTCCATGCTCGGCGCCCTCGGTGGCTGCTCGCAGACGCACCGCTGCCCGCTGCCGCGCGGCCCTGGACTCGCTGGGGGGCGCCGAATCCTTTGAGGCAGATGTCGTTGTGGTAAGTCTCCTTTGAACAATGCGATCCGGCACTCGCTCTTCCGGAGATCCTTGCATGTCTGCAGCAGCGACCTTTGACAGGGTTTCGTGAGCAGCGCGCCAACGCTGAGGGTTCTTCCTCCCACTGCAGGTCGGCGCGGGCGTGATCGGCCTGTGCATCGCTCACCAGCTGCTGCAGCAGACACGGCTGTCTGTCGCGTTGATCGACCGGCAGCAGCCCTGCGCGGGCGCCACGGGGGCGGGTGGGTGCGGTTGGAGACGCGCTCCCAGGCCTGGCGGCGATGGCTGGCAGCGAGTCGCCGGCGGCCCGCTCCATGCGGCCCTGCGCAGCTGTGAACGCCCAAACACGTGTGTGCGGCGGCATGACCCTTTCTTGGCCCGCTCACCCACTTGTACATCGGTTCAGATCGTGGGACCCCAAACACGCAGGCACGACCCCATTCACCGATGACCATGCCGCCAAACCATGCCCTTGAACCATGCTGCCACAGGCCAGGGTTACATATGGCTGGCCCACAGGTCGCCTGGCAGCGCCATGTGGCAGCTGGCGGCGCGCAGCCGGGCGGCGTGGGAGCGATTTGTCATAGGTGACCCAGAGCTTGCAGAGGCGATGGAGTGGCAGGTGGGGGCAGCTTGTTGGCAGGGGTGGCCGGTGGGGAAGTGTTGGTGGCGGGCAGTTGGGATGGCATGGCTTGGCGGCGAGGTTGGGCCAGCGGCGGGTCTGCGGGCTGAAAGGGGGGTTTTACTTCTTGGGAGAGGGTGGGGCCTGCATCAGATGCATATGTGCATATGTCTGTGTGTGTGCATGTGCGTCTGAGTGTGCGTGCGTGCATGCGTTTGCGAGTGGATGCTTAGCGGTGGATGTGATGGGATTGCAGTGCTTGGGCCGCACGCGCAGTCCTGGTGCGCACAAATGGAGGGAGAGCAGTGTGCCCCGCCTCATCAAGGATATCTCATTCGCCCTGGCCACACCACACTCACGGCTGGCACGCTTTTCGAATTGTAACAAACCCCGCAGACCACCGGCAGCCTGTTGCTGGCCACGACCGCGGCGGAGATGACGCAGTTGGAGGCGCGCGCGACCATGCTGCAGGTGCTGCTTGGCAGGCTGCGGTTTGTACCTGAGAAGCTCCCGTTGTTTTGTGCACACACATCGCCACAGCCCCGTGATGGGTCCGTGCTGATGCTCCTGGTTTCATGGTCCGGGTAGCCTCGTGCTATGCTTCGGCCAGGACCGGAAGTATGCGGCGCCTTGTGGGGCCGGCGCCCCGGCTCCAGGTGATGCGCTGGCTCGCGCCCGACCATGGCGGCCGCGCCGCGCGCGCTCTTCCCCTCCTCCCCCCCCCCCTCCTCCCGCAGGCCAACGGCGTGGAGGGCGTGCGGCTGCTGGGGCGCGAGCAGCTGCTGCGGGAGGAACCGGCCCTGGGGCTGCCGGCGTCGGCGGCGGGCCTGCTGGTGGACAGCGACGCCCAGATCGTGAGAATCAGGCAGCCGCGGGGGCCCAGATCGATGCATGAGATATGGGTGGCGCCCGAACCCAGGGCGACGCGCTCGGGGCCTGCGGGCGGCGGCGCCGCCGGGCGCGCCGGGGGCTCGCGGGGGCCGCGGCCGGGCAGGGGCGCCGGGGCGCGCGGGGGGTCGGGTCTCCGCGCGGCGCTGACGGCGGCGGGCCCGCCAGGTGTGGGGGCAGTCGCACTTCTTCCGGCCCTGCGCAGAGCAGCCCCTCGAACCCTTTCAGGCGCACACCCCCTTTTGCAGCTCTCAACACCCTTTCTCCGCGCGCCCTCCCCCCAAACCGCAAACAACCTGTGCGCGCAGAGCGGCCGCGCCGCCGCTTTTGCGCTGCTGGACGAGTGCCAGCGCCTGGGCGCCGCCACCGGCCGCTGCCGCGTGCTGCTGCACGAAGGGGCGGTCGCGCTCGAGCCCGCCCCCGCGTCGTCCGTGGACGCCGCCGCCCCGGGCGCGGGGCCGGGCGCGCAGGTGGTCACAGAGACCGGCCGCCGCGTCCGCGCGCGCCGCGGCGTCGTCGTCGCGTCGGGCGTGTGGAGCGGCCACCTGCTCGCGGACGCGACGGGGGACGCGCGGTGGCGGTCGCTGCTCGCGCCGCGGCGGGGGCATTTGCTGGAGATCGCGCGGCCAGATGGCATGCCGCCTGTGAGGCGCGGCGTGATGGAGCTCTCCTACACGCGCCACTACGCTGCCGGCGGCGGCGCCGTGCGCGAGGAGGAGGCCGCGGCTGCGGCCGCGCAGGCGCGCGCGGGGCCGGCGGAGGCGCCGGGCGCGGTGGGCGGCGGT